GACTGCGTGGAGAAAAATTAATGCGTCAGTATTTGAAAGAAAAAAAAAAGTGTAAATGAAAAAAATAGTATCTTAGCTGACTTAGACCTGGATAATTGAGGTTATACAGTAATTCACATTGCTGGATAAATTCGCGGTGTGCTTGAATTGTGGCACGATAAAACTATTGTACATGCGGTACCCTAGTTTTTTTTTCGGGCGGGGGTAAGGAAACATCTTGGCGGCATCATTCACGGTCGCTGTTGTTTGAAGGACACGAGCACGTATTCTCTTTAAGATCGCTGATCAAAAAAAATATTGACTGAAAAAAGATACAAGGCTTTATAAAAAAAAAGATGTGGCGTTCGGTAATTTCTGGCGTGTTTGCTGCGATTTGTGGAGTGCGGGCGAGACGAGATTTATCTTCAGAGATTTTTTTTTCAGCGTCAGTAAATAACCACGACGTAAGTTTTTGTGGAGGTGTGAACAAGTTGGCAAATACATATCAACGTGTATCATTTTCTTTCTCCAGACATTTCCTCAGTTTTTACATCTATCTAAAAATAAATAAAACTGAACGAAGGACAGTACTAATGCCACGAGGTTTTCCATTTGAATATGCAAAAGCGAGTGTACAGATTTTTGTGTATTGTTGTGGAATATCAAGGTTGCAGATGCGTTACAAAGATCAGAAGCAAGCCTTCGTACATGAGGCAGTGCCCGACGTTCTTTCAATCATGGTAAATGCTCCTTATACACTGATGTGCATTAGTTTTTTCTTTCTTCCGCCACAGTTTCTTAAACCCGTTTTCTACGAAGAACCAGTGAGAAAAAGTTCTTATAAACTGAAGATACTGTGTAAAATTTCGATAGCCTGTGAGAGGCATGGAAATAAATGCAGGTAGACTCTCTCTGCAACGGTTTTCTGACCTGTATTGAGAATATTCGCCCCATATTATTCTTTCTTCATGCTAGACGTCTAGGGCCCTAGGGGCTCTTAACAACAAAATTATCTGTGCAAAGATATTTTATGGTCTCTTGAATTTTTTTTTTTTTTAGTCCACCTGTATTCAATTTTTTTGGGCTGGCTGTTTATGATGACTCGCGGTCCTTTTCCGCATACGGAAGGCAAAATTTGTTAGTGGCCAAGTAAAAAAGCCCCTCTGAAGAAACAGCAGTCGTAGAGGAAATGTCCTAAAATAGAATGACTAAAAAGGAAGTGCTGTACAGTACTCAAGGAACCCCGAGCGGAAAATTCGCGGGAAACGACGCCTCAGAGAGAAATGAAGAATGGGAGGAAGCAAATCATGCCAAATAAAATGACATCATTGTTTAAAAAATAAAATAAAATATACAGAACCAAGTCCAAAAGTAAATGAAAGCTGGAAAATGCAAGGCAATTTTGGCAATCCGTCCCGGTGCCTTTTTTTTTAATCATTGCACTGTTGAATTGATACGATCGTTGCTAAATTGAAGCAATTTTAATGGCTTTTTCAATGAAGGTTCTGCTGGTATGACCATTTTTGTCGATTCTGCAAATTTAAAAAAAATCTGATGACGGAAGCTGTAATCTTGAATAGTCCATATATATATAGAAGAAAATGAAAAAAACCTGATTTCGAAAGAAATATACTTGATGTTTAACGCTAAATACGTTACACTTGTAGAGTACGTTAAGATCCACCCAAGAATCGCAGGATGGCGTCAGTTGAATGGCTTCAGATTTGAGAAAATATTTTCTTAACGAAAGCTTTCAAAAATTGTACTCTTTTGGATAAATAAGTTCCGACTTGATGATCTTAAGATAGCTAAAAAAATATGAATATGAGCCAGCTCGTTGTATTCGAATCACGAAATCAGTGCATCTGATGGTGATTAAAAACCCTCGACCCTCGCCTTATATTGAACAAAAAAAGTTCATCAAGATGGAATTTTATCGTTTCAAGAGTTTTGAAAATCACTTGTCTTCGCCTTTCAAAAAATATGATTTCAATAGCGAGGAAGGAAGTTGTAAAAATTTTTCAATCTCACAGGATAATTTTCTAAAATTGGGACGAGTCCGTTAGACTAATTAGAGACTTGAAACCACTCATTGCGGTATTGAAAAAAAAATGAAATGAGAATAAAGGAATCGCAATTTTATTTGTGATCTTTTTCTCAAAATGACTCTACGATGAAAGATGCAGTTTGATTTCGATTTCAAATTTTTTTATTTTTATTTTTTCATTTCGAGGAATGGGATGAAATAATCAAAAGAAGACAAATGCCGCGGACGATAAGCTTCTGGAAATTAATGTTCCATTTTTTCGTGTTCTTCTTGATCCTCGCCGTTAGCCAACGACCGACAGCTGAGGTGGGTATATGGGTCGGGAGGAATAATAACGCACGATTCTGTATTCGATGGTGCTTCGTATACAACGAAACCCGACGTACTATTACTGTGTCACTAACCTTTCAAATACAAGTAACGAACTCGGATTTTCCCGAGAAACGAAGAAAAACTCGCTCACGTGCACAGCAATAGCCCACGTTGAGCCTTCTTTTCCACACAAAAAAATTGATAAAATCTAACTTTGAGCTGCTCTAAAAATTAATTGCTTCATGAGATGGGTTGTGTTCAACCATACTTTACTTCATCTTGTATATACCCTTGATTTGCTGGAGTACCACACGCCCTCGAGTAAGACATGCCCTTGGCTTTTTCAGTTGAAGATTAAAAAAAAAATTCTATCGAGTAAGACGAGCACCCCATTTTTATTATCTCTAAAAGTACAACATTTTAAAATAAAGAACACGCTCATTTGAATTTAGACATGAATTGAGCATGAATTTGACTAATTTTCAATTTTTTCCATTGAAATAAGTTTTTATGTTGAACTTGGTCCAAATGTTCCCATTAGAATAAAGTATAAATGTATAATGCACGCCTACATTTTCTAAACTTTTTTTTTGAAAAATGTCCCGCCTTAAAAAAGCAGCCCCATTTTTCCTTGCTCAAATTTGAGAAATAAGGTGCGCGTCGTACTCGAGTAAATACGGTTGTATTTACTTGTATCAAGTTTTGCGGTTTACTGATGATTTTTTTTTTATCGTTGAAGGAATATTGCTAGAAACTGCTGAGATTTTTTCCAGCTCGTAAAGGTTCATAAATGGCTGAGTGATGACTGAAGTATTTAACTCGAACATTCCCGCAAATCTTGCACGGGGATTTGAAACGGCTCAAATTAATATTACGAGGTAAAAAATAAAAAAGATAACCAAGAGAATACTCGCGTCATATCCGGACAATTTTATTTTATTTTAGCCACTCGGAAAGGACGTAATTTCTATATTTCCTCTGGTCGCGTCAAATTGTTCTGGATTACGTAACGTTCATCGTTGTGAGGACTGTTTTATTTTCTTAAATCGCATATTGTGCAGATCGAATTCCGGATCATCAACGACGGTTCACAGAGTCCTGCCGGCCAGTGTGGTTTCCGTCAACGAGGAAGTTTCCAAGCAACACCAGGATGTTGGATCAGAAGACGCTGGAGCCTTGTCCCAGTCCTCTGACCTGCCACTGTCTCAGCCCCGTAGCTGCATCGAGCATCAGGTACTGCAAAAGTGTATCTTGCTACTATAGAAATCTGCGAATTTCCATCAGGGTAATTGATGGTTGAGAATATAAAGTCTGACCAAAAGACATAAACAAAAATGCACGTGATGCCTTTTCAAATTCCATCCGGGAGATTTGTTTAGATACTGTAATTGAAGTCAACCATCGATTTAGTGCCACCGCCTCATATGACACCGCAAATGTCCCTGGAACATATTGTATCGCCCTTTGTTGTGTTCTTATGGGAAAACCGCACTTTAGTGCCAACTCACCGAGTACCACAAAAATCTTGTGTTAAATGAAAAATGGGCCAAAATTGAAAGAATGAAGGACTTTTTCCGGGGAAGTCATTGGCTTATTACTCATAATCACGTGCCCATGCTCGCATAAAAGCTCAGGATGATTTTAATCACGCTATTTCTGGATTTGCATAATTGAAAATAGTTTCTTTTTGCATGAAACTTTTCTTCATCAAAATTTTCGTGAATGAAGTTGGAGCTTAACTTGAACCAGTGGTGATTTGTGCATAGAGTTACCTGATACAAAAGTCAAATAGAAACAAAATTCAAGAAATACTGTGGATCTTCTCTTTCACTAGACAAAATATGTATAAAAATAGTAATTTTGAGCTTAAAATTATGCCTTGTGCTTGTTCTCTTATAAAACTGACGTGGTGGCCAAATAATTCTGTAAATAAGCTATTTTTTCCTGCGGTAGAAACCCTCAACTGAACCTTCTTCTCGCGTACAATACCCTCGATTTAGTGCCACAAAAATGTGCCAGGACACCTGGTGGCACTAAATCTGGGTTCGACTGCATCTTCGTAACCCAAGGAGAAAATGGAAATTTTTTTTAAACTTTAATATTTTTTTCACCAGGATAATTACGTGTCCCAGGACAGCGCTATTGAAGAAGATCGTTCGGATCTCGATGATGCTGATGAAGAGAAGTCTGTGCAATCGCAAGCTAGCACCGACACGACCACCGCCATCACCACGAACAACATCAACAACAATAATAATAACAACAACAATAATAATAACAACACCACCACCAACAACAATATCGAGAAAAAAACCGTGACTATCGCGCAAGAAGAACTTGCAGTGCGATCCGCGAGTTTCGAGAAGCTTCTCTCGGGTTTCATGCAGCGACTCGGTCAACAGCAGAACTTCGACGAGACAGCAAAGCCCTGCAAAATCATTCTCGACAAGGTAATTACCGTATATCCAACCCGAATTGAAATTATCAGTGTACAAACACGTCGTCTTGAAACCGTTTTGATTAAAGGAACCCATTGTCTCGGTAACGACACGATGTCTTTACCCAGTTAATCGAATATCTTACAAATTTCATCATATGAATGAAACGATAAAAAAATGACCTGACGTGATATTTCAAATACAGTATTTTCACGAATCTAGAAGTTAGTTTTCTTGGATAAACTCAGTCTGTATCAAGGATAATTGATGCACAATAATGAACATTTTTTTCACTTGACACAACTAAAATAAAGTAACAGCAATTCAACGACATCGGAGTAAAAAGATTGAACTGTGAAATAATAGTAGGGCGTATTGATGAAAACCTCAGTATTGAACATTGCAAAAATTTTCACATAAGATTTGAGTCAATTACATCACAAAGGAAAAAAAGAAAGAGGCTCAAATTTGAATTAATGAGTCATTTTGTATCCTTCCGGTGAATGGAATCACAGTATTTGGTTCCGATTGATCGAATGCATGGTCATAATACAATATTTGAATCCTGGATATGGGTTATTCTGCTTTGTACAGTACTTTCATCAGGGACCATCCTGATTTCCGGACTTTCCAATTTGTTTTTCTTGGCCTGTCATCAGTTTTATTGCAGACCTTTGTGCGTTTAAAACGGGCGTAAAAACTCTTCATGAGCTGAATTGGCTCAAGTTTTCTCTGAAACCTGAAGTGCTTTTATATGGCTCATAAAAATTGTAACCGTCTGCAAAAGCGGAAGTTTTCTGCGGTATTGCTTTGCCAACGATTACGTGGTTGAAGTGCAAAATCGAACGATTTCCCATTTAACACCCATGAGAACACTCGTCACGTTCAACATTTTTTGCGTGATGGGCCTCATTTCGAAGAACACCGCGCAACCGAGAGATCTGATTGTGGTTAGTAATTTGTTGGCAAGCTGGGATAATAACGTTTCAGGAAGGAGAAACAATCGTTCTGCAATTACGCAGCAAAGTACAGTATTTTCTATAAAAAAAAAAACGTAACAGGAATCGAAACGCATGTAACGGAAAATGTTTCATGGCCGAGGAAAGCTTCTCTTCATTCGGTTGGAAATTTGACTAGATTCCAGTTCTTTTGGTTAAGGTTTTGCCCTCTTTTAAATTCACCCTCATAATTAATTTGTCTCTTGTTCCGTAAACATTTAGGAATGCAAGAACAATAGTAAAATTTGAAGTGAATATTTTGAAAACCATCACTCTTAAGTTTGAAGCTCGGTTTTGTCTTCAATATGCAGGACATGAGATCACAATGGATATCATCAAGGTTTTTTGTAATGCCCACGATACTTTTAGGGCTTCGAAATAACTTCAAAGGTCTAATTAACTTCAGTCTCCTTGAGTCATGTGCTGATGGTATTCGCATTGTTTCTCGATTTTTTTTCCTTTTAGTTTTAGCACGGTACTTGGTTCGGTTATTTTGGAACCAGTTATGTGTCATTCTCATGGCTTGTTTGACGAATTGCGAGAGGAATGCAAGCCTTGCAGGAAATAAGTACCAGTACCTGTAATAAATTTCTTGGAGTGCTTTTGGCATTACCTGTATTTAACTCCGGTTTTATTGCTTCCCAGTAAAGGCCGGGTGATTTTATTTCCGTTTTATCGACGATGCCATCTGTTTGGGATCTGCCCCCCTGTACTATATAGGCTGGAATTCATTTTGTATACGATTGAAGGTCTGTCCATGGTTACCAACTATATACTGTACTTACGAATACGCGGGATTCCATCTTTGACAGTTCTGTTTATCGTGATCTGATATGGATCAAATAAATTCGACATTTTTTTATGCATACGCATTCATTTGTTATTTAACTGTAACGATTTCCGACATAATTCTGTAAATTAAGTTTAAAATTGGGATACAGAATTTATTTATTTGACATTTAAGATACAACTTGGCAACTTTTGATGGACAAGTATTTGCATTTGAGCTTTATTCCAGGAAGACTTGTAAAAACTCTTAGATAAGCAACAAAAGTCTCGTTGTCAAAATGTTTTTTAAATAAATATTCCATTTGGAAGATGACGAAGAAACAATCCACTTCCTCGTCGAGGGATGAGACATGCGCTTTTCGTAGGGTATGATTATATATACTGTAGATAAATATATTCGAGTTTGTATATAATGATTTACAAAAATATTCTGAAAATGCCTGGTTGTGGCGAATCCCCCCCCCCCAGCAAATACAGTATTTCATTCATAAGACGGAAAATCTGTCCTTTTCAGAGTAAAGATTTCATTTTTTGGATAAAAACAAACAAAGAAATTACTGTATTCAGTTGACCAACGTGAAATAAACATTTCAAAATTGTGTGTGCAGTGCTAATACAGTATTTGTTTTTGAGTTTGACTCTGTCAAGCTTTGAAACAACATTTTACGAAATGAGTTACGATCGAGGGCCTGGTCGTGAACTTTATTTTTTCGTCGGAAATATGATGAAGTTTAGGACGGAGTAATTTTATAGTTTTCTGAAAAGGTTCAACGTCACAAATTTGTGCGTACAGTGCAAGTATTCATTTTCAAGCTTTACTTTTTAAAGCTTCCTAACAAAATTTTACAAAATTAACTGCAATCAAGTGCCTGCTGGTCATGAACGCTCTTTTTTTGTTGTAAATATAATATTTTTGGGACCAAAAGGAATTGTTCTGTTGTCGAGAGTGGTATAGAATTTCAGAGTTTTTTTTTTGCATTGCAAGGATTTATTTTTGAGTTTGATTTCGTCGAGGTTTCTGGTACGATTTAAAAAAATTGGTTATACAGTATACAGTAATTAAATGCCTGGTCGATAACACGTTTGCATCCTCAATGTAATACTGTATATATTTTTTTCCTAGGACGAAGAAATGATGCAATTGCCAATAAAGGACCGCGTGCACTGCTGGGAAGGCCTGGCTGGCAACAGACGCGACGTCGTCTACGCTGCCCAGCCCGTCGCAGTGATCGAAGACGACGCTGCCTTGGACGACAGTGAAGCTTCCAGCACATGCAGCAGCAGCAGCACTGTGACTGAACAACCCCGTCGGGACTGCGACTCCACTGAAGTCGACATCGACGTCGAAGCCGAAGCCGAAGCCATGATCGCTGACGAGAACGACGACGTTTTCGAAGACGCGGATAACACTGCTGCGAACACTCCTGCTGATGCTGCTGTTGCTCCTATTACTGTGACGACAGCGACATCTTTGAATGAACAGCGGAAGCGTTGCGTGAGTGAACGCAGCAGCAGTGACGCTGTCACCATGAGCAACAGCAAATCGGAGGCTGAGGCTGTTGCTGCTGGGAATAAAAGCGAGCAATTCAAACCCTCGTCGCCGTTGCCCGTGCGACGATCCAGCATGCCCAGTGATCTGGAAGAGTCTCAGCAACAACAGCAACTGCAGCAGCACCAGCTGCACCATCTACACCATCAACAGGGCAACTTGCAGCAGAACCCCGGGGTGACGCAATCCCTGCCTGTATTCCGTGCCGAACCACTTCATCAGCAGCAACCACTCAATGTTATGGTTGATGCTCCCGAAATGCCGCAAAACGCTTCTTCCGCCACAGCACTAGCTGATGCGAAGAACTCAAAGGTGCGCAACTATTGAAATGTTGTCTCGTTTTTTATTGCTCTCTACGCATGATGAACTGCCGCGGTTTTGTGGAATGGTACAGCTGTCATGATAGATGTCGTCCCTTAAACCAATTAACCCTCAAGTGCACAAGAGCACGGACATTTAAAAAATAAATGAATAAATAACGTCGAATGAGAAGCACAGCCTAAGTTGAGAAAATTCCAATTTTTTCTCTTATTGCAGTGAAATTTGACAACTTGAAAAAAATCATCACTAGTTGCCCGTTTTTCTGCATTTTTACAATAGGATTGCTGGATTAGCATTGAAGGAATTTGAAAAACTTTGTTTTACCTTCCCAGATGTCCCTTGAGGCCCTGAATGACTACTCAGCAGTCAGCCCGGACTGCATTTTGTGATTTTTTGTCAAAATAAATTGTCCCTGTGTTCAAAAAATAATAATAACCCTGGCTCTGCGATGGAATGGAAAGGTACCCACCAGCTCCCAATTTGTGGGCAATTCCCCGAAGTCCAATGCAATTTCAACCGTACAAGCTCAAAACTTGTTGGGTCTAACTTCCCTTAGTTGAATTCTTGAGGCCTTTCTCTTATTCAGTTGGCGCTACATTTGAGAGATTAGAACACCTGTAATAAATGTATTCGAATTAATGTATTTTTTTTATATTCTCCAGAAGGGATTAGATACCTCCCTATAGGTGGGACATCTATGAATAATGAACAGTTTAATTAATTTGGCCACGGAATAATTTCCATTGCTTAACCTACCCAAATGAAGCCAAACCCCCTAGGCTCAAAAACTCCGGGATGATTTTTTTCTTCTTTTGAGTCCCTTAAAATTCTTTTTAGGAAGGATGAATATGGTAATTATCAGCGCATTTTATTCTTCTTCCCTTTTGCTGTGCCTTTCCAGCATATTCTCTTTGTGGATTCCTTGCTCATCCGCGTTTTGCCCTTGCTTTCGTTCGTTATGACCCAGGTGGAGGCGATTGCTCAGCGACTCCGCCAGCGCCGCCTTAGTGTCCCAGCCGGCACCCGGTATTGGGGCCGCATCTGCAGCGGGTCTTACGCCAAGGCCCTCGAGAGCTTCAAGAAAAAGTGCTCCCAGTTCGAGTCAGTCAACGAGGCGGCGGAAGAGGACTCGCAACTCTTGATGATGATGCCACCACAACACCAGTCATTGGAACAACCGACGGAGTCTGCCGAAATGAACCTCGGTTTCCTGCAACCGTCGCCAGAGGACATCAGGAACAATAAGCGCGTCAACAACAACACCAACAAACTCTTTATTCCCTCGCCGATGACAACGAGCAGCAGCAGCAACAGCACCTCGAATCCGTCTCTGACGGACGCCTCGTCTTCGGGCCTCATCACTGCTGACCTGCCCAAGAAAAACACCCACCAGGGCCGAAGCGTTGGTAACCTTTCTTGCGATCCCGACGACCACGAACAACATCCGGGCTTCGAACGAGCGTTCAGGCAACTGTCGCTCGACATTCCGCCCGGGAAGTGAACCTTTTCATTAAAAAATAAATAAAATTCAGTTTTTTTTTCGAGGATATTGCGTTTTTTTATTTGTATGCCGTGTAGGTTTATTCCCGCGGCGCGCGAGTGTGATGTTGAAACCTCGATCTGATGTGGACTTCGACATATTGGTTGTTTGTTTTTTTGGGAATCCGCTGTATCGATTATACTGCTGCTGATGGCGTCAGGAAATGGGACAAAAAATTAGGGAAACTAAAAAAAAAAAAGAGCGTGTCTTTTATGGTGGTTTATATGGGCGAGATTCGGATCACCACGACGTGATGGCGTGCAAATTCCTTCACCCGAGGTCTTATTCTCGATGGGGCATTCCGGCAAACGAACGAAAATTTCTTTGATGACGACGATGAGATGTGGCGACTCTGTATGGTTCTATTTCTTGCGGATTAGTACCCGCGATGATCAAAGCAAGAGCGAATTCCTTTATCAGGCCAGATCGTTTTTATATTTGCTTGCTTTCTTTCGGGCTTCCATCAGTACGTTTTTTTTTTATTGTGCATCGCGTAAAGCGTTTTTAAATCCCGGTGGTGAAATGGAAAGTTTTGTCTTTGGAGGAGGGAGTGGGGGTTATTGACTGTTCCCATGCGACCCCAGTGTCAGTGAACTCGCGGATAGGGTTTCAAGATGAAGAGCATGCGTCTTAAACGGCTATTTTTTCAGTCTTTTTTCTTCAACGTCTCTTGTATAACGTGGATTTGATTTGGTCTATTGGAGAATTTGACTTGCAGTTGTATTTGAATAAAGTCCAAAAGGTTTTTTTTAGATAATCGCGTTTTTATTGAGGATTAGTATACTCACGACATCTGTACGTTCTATGGAATAAATTATTGCCCTGTTGACATCTACTGAAAGTACAGTACTGTATTTCGACCCCCGGAGCACCAGCTGAATATATTTTAAGCGTACTGTATTTCAGGTTTCGACTTCGCATATTTCAGCATGTGAGTATGAAGGATTTTTTTGAAGACGCCCCATGCATTTTCTCTCACGCAGAAACAAATAATATTGAATAAGTTATACCGTACCTGTTGCGGAAAATTTCATACTTCATTATAGAGCTCAGATTTTTTGGATTTTATTTTTAAATGCACATGACATATTCGATGGCGACGATGCATATTCAGACCGGCAACGAAGCTGCGATATTGTTTCATACCGGCCTGCATTTTCTCGATGTCATTAACATAGACGCAAGTAACAATTATTTGTATTGATAATTGTTATCAATAGTGGTCGCGTTTGCATGACATAGACTATTGTTCCGGGTTTCTCCAAGTGTACAAAACTTATCACCGAGATCGATCAGTCCCTACCGTTCTGTGACCATGAAAGTAAACGTGGCCGCGACCATAGCATGACGAAAGTCCGCGCCCCACGCGGCTGTCAAGGTTAGTTCGCGGGTCAGAGTGACCGTGGCATTCTTCAGTGTGGCGTGTGAATTATTGCTTGAGTTGCTTGCTTAACGAAGCAGATTTCAATTATTACTTTCAGATATTTTGTTTTACTTGTGTTTATTTGGTTCAGAACATATATTACCCATTACTGTCCCGGTTTTAGCTAATAGCCATGGCGGAGAAAAAGCAAGCGACTATTCCGAAACCTGTGAAGTTTCTTTTTGGTGGTACTGCGGGGTGAGTTTTCTTGGCGGTACTGTGTTGAAATTCTTCTTAGGACGACCATAATTTGGTTCTTCGTAGAATGGGTGCTACGTTGTTCGTGCAGCCGCTTGATCTTGTCAAGAATCGCATGCAGCTGCAAGGTGTTGGTGGAAGTGGTCCGCGGAGAAATACTATCCAAGTTCTGACCGGTGTACTCAGAAACGAAGGAATCCGTGGAATATATGCAGGTCTTGGAGCTGGCTTGCTACGACAAGCCACGTACACCACAACGCGCTTGGGAGTGTACACTTGGTTGTTCGAAGTTTTCTCGAGGTAAAACCCATGATACATCCTTTCCGCAATGTGATCACCACTCTGCCCCCAATGAGACAGTGAACCTGGAAATCCCCCATCCTTCGCTGCAAAGGCTGGAATGGGAATGTTTGCTGGAGCCGTAGGTGCATTTGTTGGAACCCCTGCTGAGGTGTGTCTCATTCGCATGACTGCTGATGGGCGCTTACCTGTTGCCGAGCGACGGAATTACACGGGAGTTGTGAATGCACTTGCCAGAATTGCAAAAGAAGAGGGCGTGACAACCTTATGGCGTGGGGCAGTTGCTACCATGAACAGAGCAATGGTTGTCAATGCTGCACAACTTTCTTCTTATTCGCAGGCAAGTCCCAGACGAATCCCCTTACAAATTTTTAACCCATAAAATATTTTTACTGCTCAAAATTTTCAGGCTAAGCAAGGGCTCCTTTCCACTGGCTGGTTTAGGGATAACATAAACTTGCATTTCTGGGCGAGTATGATCAGCGGTTTGGTCACCACGACCGCTTCCATGCCAGTTGACATTGCAAAAACCCGGTTAGTGCATTTAACGTCGTTAAATTTATCTTTACTACATTTGAAGTCTTTATCAGAATTCAAAATATGAAGTACGTCGACGGTAAACCCGAATACAAAAACGCTCTTGACGTTTTCTCCCGGGTCATACGACAAGAAGGACTTTTCGCGTTATGGAAAGGATTTACTCCATATTATGCTCGACTGGGTCCGCACACAGTCCTTACATTTATCTTCTTGGAGCAGATGAATAAGGCATATTTCAGGTCGATCGGCGCTGAAGGTGGAGCATCGCTGTGAGGCTGTTGATCCGTGATTCATGAAACATTCTTCTCCCTTAGCAGAAATTTGCCCGAAGTGAGCTTTTAATATGTGGACAAACGTGATCTAAAAATGCCATTCCTTTGTAGTCGATCCTAGTGAAAAAATGCGCAAATGTTTCATTACTTGAGAAAGTTAAATGAGACTGGCATGAGGATTTCTAGTGTTTCGTTGGTTGTTTCAAGATGGTTAAGCATTGATCTGGTCAGGGATGAGGCTGCCGCTGAATCGCTTTTAGATTCCTTGCAATGGTCGAGGGTGTCGTGACGTCATTGTGATTATGGATATGGTTGCTACAGAAAAACTCCAAGAGTCCAGAATTGGAAAAAGCGTGGTTGGTTGGCGTTGTGTTTGTGTGGCCAATTTCTGCCAACCATTTCGGGCATGACGTTTGTATGCATGTGGTGGGTTTGATTGCCGCTACGGCATTGTTGTGCAAAACAGACGCTGTTGGATGTTAATCAGAACGAGCCTCCTTTTTCCTTGTTTGTTTCCTGATCCTCATTTCTTTCGACAGGGTAGGATTGGTAAACGTGTCCGGGTGCTGTATATGATCACTGATGGTTCTGCTTCCAAAATTTGGAAGACGAGGAATATTTTCACAAGCTTTAAGTGTGTGTGGCAGCTTGTCTGAATTGCGTAATTCTACCAGGATACCTATTATGTAGCCGAATATTTATTTGTTGTGGATTACTTCAGGAATCCTCGGTTAAGCGTTACGCAACCTGCAAATTTCTGACTTGCGGATACCGAGCGTTGAGCCTACTAAGTTTAATTGTATGATTCCCCCTTTATAATTGGTTGTGAGCAAGAAAATGCAGGTTTATCGTGTGTGAGAATTTGAACAGGATGAGTTGGGGTAGTTGCTGGCTCGAGAAATGGTCTGCAAGAAACGAAGTACTGTACTGTACTGTATTGCTGGAAGAAGTGATTCATACCTTTTTTCATGAATTTTGGAATATTTAATATCAAGAGAAGATATTCGCCTACAATTCCGTTTAAAATACTTTTTTCTGAGTTTGTTGATTTCGATACTTTTCGTTGATATAAATTTGGTTTTTATTATCATGAGTCGGATGTGATACAATTCTGGAATAAACTTCATGGTATTCTTTCCTATTGATACAATGATCAAACTTTTTTTTTACTGATGCAAACGGTTTTTCTATTGACGAACTGTGCTGCGAGATGCCAGTTTCGTAATTGAGGTACTGTGCTTTTATTAGGTCAAAGGTTGAAGTCGAGGAAAAAGGTCGATAAACGTCTTGATCCTTCCTCTCAAAAATCACACCGTGACTTGCTTCATTTTTATCTAGTGAAGTGGGTGAGAATGGCAAAGGTTGGTGGAAGCAATTGATACTTCAGGGATTTGACCGAGAATTTCATTGATGCTGATGGATCAATGAAATTTGCTGATTCATTTTACGGAGCGTTGCCCTTATCCTTCAAGTCAATGAATTACGTGGACCTATTGAAATAGAACGCATTCCATGCTCTTCGAAAAAGACTTAACGGATTGTACTGTTTTTGCATTTACAGTACTTCGTTATTCTAAAATTACCGAAGACAATTCTAAGGTAAAGTAGTACTGCACTGAAAACTTTTCTCGATAAATATTGGCTCTTCTGGAAAATTATGGTCTTTAATTCATCATCTGTGTGTTTCTCAGAATACTCCTTATTTCACGCTGCTTTGTGTAGAAGTGATCGGAATCAGATGATTAGGTGTTTTTACTAGTTTTATTAGGAGTCCAGAAATATGATGACGGCTTTCGATTCTGTGATGAATGATTCTGGGTACTCTTTGATTTGTCATTCCTCTTTCTCTCAAGCATCCTATAAGTTTATGGTTTGGAAAAGAGGCAAACATTTGGGCATTCCTGTCAAACTTGTGTGGCTGCGTATTCATGGAATGTTTTTCTGGTCACCTAACGGGTTGGAAAAAAAAATTGTGTGATGCCGAAGAAAATCTCCAGTAATTTTTCTTTTTTTCAAATTTCTGTTGAAATGACAGGTTTTTTTTTATTTTTTGCAGAGTTTGTGAATGTTTCAAATCTCACAGTTTCAATCTCTGGCATTGCCAAGCGGTTGATTACTCCAATGTAAGTGTTGGCGTTTCCAGCAGGTTGCTTCCATGAACCTGGAACATTTTTGCTCGTTGGAATATTGAATTTTTTCTGCATTATAGCTCAACAGCTAATCCTGAGGATTTGATGAGTAGTGACGAGAGTGGGCCTTCGGAGAAGACTGCTTTGCTGGACGAGGGATTGGCGCAAGGCCCTACCAGAAGAACTCATGGAACGGTGGACGTGTCGTCAGCTGTAAGCGACCATTCTGACAGAGAAGAACTTGAGTTGCGTCTTGCGAGGAATCCCTTAGTATCTGAAGGCATTGAAATGAGTGCCCCTGCTGCGCCGACGTCTACCTCCAATCCTCAGCGTCCAGCTGAGGAAACAATCGAGCTCAAGTATGGCGCAGAGCATGTCATCAAACTCTTTGTCCCCGTCTCACTTTGCATGCTTGTTGTCGTGGCAACGATCCGCACCATCTCATTCTACACTGAGAAAGGCCAGTATTTGCCCTACACACCATTCCACGAAGAAACTACCGACCAGGGAACCAAAGCTTGGATGAGTGTTGCCAACTCTGCTATCTTGATCGGCGTGATTGCCACGCTGACGTGCTTCTTGATAGTTTTGTACAAGTTCCGGTGTTACAAAATAATTCACGGATGGCTCTTGCTCTCATCGCTGCTACTTTTATTTTTCTTCAGTTACGTATTTCTGGAAGAAGTGTTGAAAACTTATGAAATTCCAATTGATTATGTCAGCGTAAGTTTCATCATGTGGAACTTCGGTGTGGTTGGGATGGTTGCAATTCATTGGAAAGCTCCACTTCTGTTGCAGCAGGGATATTTGATTTTTGTGGCCGCATTGATGGCTTTGATTTTTATAAAGTTTCTACCGCCCTGGACCGCGTGGGTTGTGTTGGCCTTCATTGCGGTTTGGGATTTGTTCGCAGTTTTGTTCCCAAAGGGTCCGTTGAGAATTTTGGTTGAAACCGCGCAGCAGAGGAATGAACCGCTATTTCCTGCATTGATTTATTCTTCAAATTTGGTTGGAATGAGCGAACCAGCACCCGGTGGGCATGTTGGGACAGATTGGGAAGAAGATGATGACGATCGGGGTATCAAGCTTGGATTGGGAGACTTTATCTTTTACAGCGTTTTAGTGGGAAAGGCTGCGTTGAGTGGGGATTGGAATACCACTTTAGCTTGTTTTGTTGCAATTTTGATCGGATTATGCGTCACTTTACTTCTGCTTGCGATTTTCAGGAGGGCCTTGCCGGCTTTGCCAATTTCAATATTTTTTGGATTGGTGTTCTATTTTGCTACGAGTATTGTTGTTGCGCCGTTTTGTAACATGCTCTCCGCTAAGCAGGTTTTTATTTAGTTCAGAGTTGGAGTTCGTCGAGACAGATTTATTTTCATCTATCGATTTTCTTCGTTCAATGGCCATTCATTCTTGTGGAAATTTTTTTTTTCTTACATGTGCTTTTCCAGAAAAACTGAATTGTACTAAGCTGCGAACTCGTGATTTTAATGTATCTCGGCTTCAATTTTTTTTTTCTAGAAATTGTCTATTTTGAAAGAGTGCAACATCCGCTTTTTCTGATCGTGTTTTGAAATGAAATAAACGCTCCTTTATCTTAATTTCAAGATGCATTTGTGCAAGCATTGAAATCCTTTAGTTCTCGTTGCTTCATTGCATGAGAGCTTGGGAAGAAAATACTCTATGTGCGAAGATTCCTGGTGTTTCCTTGATACTGATATTCGCTTGGAATGTGTGTTGCATGTTCTCTGTTTTGTTGCAGTGTTTCTTTTATTGTTGAAGTAACCTGGAATTGATGATTTCTAATGTATTTCTCTTTTGCAGATGCTGAAATAAACACGAGATATACCCCCCAGGAAGAAGGGGTGATTTTCTCTGTAGTTGTTTGCGTAATGTGAATTTCTGCAAAGTGAAAATGAATAAGCAGTGCAATTCGTATCGTTATGCTGTTAATGATGGGGCAGAGGAAGGTTTTGTCCTGTGGGCTTACAAAGCTAGTGTTTTACGTCTGATCTTCTTCTATATCTTTAATGTGCTCTTCCTTGGATTTCCGTTGGTTCTGGCCTATTGGAGGCCGGATTGGGCTATTGCATGGAAGTTTCAGCAATGTTCGCTGATGGAGGCCGAAGTCATCTATATTCAGGTACATCACTTGAATTATTTTCATTCCACTTGATGAAAATTTCCCGAAATTTATCATTAAGTCCTGTTCGCAAATTTTCAAAAGTTGTTTCCTCATTAAAATCACAAGAAAATCGAACACTTATTCTCTCTTTTCCTGTTCCCTCTCAAGTTCTTCAAAATTTCAAAAAAAGGGATTTCTACCCTGGACTCCTGTGATTTATCCTTTTTTTGTTCCCAGGATGCCGCTAATCAAGTTCACATTGTCAAGATGGAAGTTTTGAAGCTGCCAATCGAGGAAGGTGTGCGTCAGTTCATCGAAGAAGTGGTTCGAATGGGTATTATTCCATCAACGTGCATTGAGAGTCAGAACGAAGAAGAAGAAGAATCAAATGAGTCTTCGAGCGTTTTGTCAGAAGAAACTCCGAGCGTCCTCACGCGTTTAATATCTCGCGAGGAAAGTGATCCATCATTCAGCCTGCGCTTCTTTGTTTTCCGACATCGAAAATTTGTTTGGGATCGTGGAAACGACAGGTTCTGCCAAATGACTGGCATGGCTGACCAGAACGTAAAAATTAGCACCTTGGTGAACATTTCGGAGGGATTGGATGCGGAGGAGCAAGCTTTCAGGTTGGTTTCTCATTCAGTGAAAGCCATCCACGGTAACAGAATGTTGGAACCTTCAGTTCAAGATTGGAAACAGTTTTCGAGAAATGTATGCTGTTCGTACATTTATTGTTCAGTGAGAATTGGTAATTCATATGATCCATATTTTTCGTAGAAAGTAATTGGGTGCATCAAAATTATAACTAATGTCTCATTTTGAAAGGTGGTTGACCGTAAGAAATGTCCAGCTGCTGTAAAACAAACATCAGAATATTGTAAGTAGAACTTCGCTTGAATATTTTCTACTGCACAAAATGCGTTTTGGACAATCATTAAATCCTCGAAGAATGTAATCACCGTAGTTTCGCTCTTCTTGTTTGTTTTGGGGTTTCATTCGCTGCGTATCCTTCTTCCTTTCAGGCAGAAATTATTTGGTCAAAACTCCGTCAATGTGGAAATCAAATCCTACTTCACCCTCCTGTTCACTGAAGTTGTGAATCCTTTCTACATTTTCCAAGTTTGTTCCATTATTCTCTGGAGCTTGGATAACTACCTGTTCTATGCAACCTGTATTCTGCTTATATCAACCTTTTCGATTGGGGTTTCGCTGTATGAAACACGACAGGTTCGTCCTTATTGATTTCTGCTGCGTCCTTAAAAAAATATTTACAATTTTTTTGCATTTTTAGCAAAGCGTTGTGCTGCACGACATGGTCAGTGCATCGAACTTGGGAACCGTACAAGTTTTGCGCCACAATGGAGGTCAAGTTTAAAAATATACTGTATACATATTTGGAAAGTCAAGAAATTTCAATGAATTTTTTTTTGTAGTGGTTGAAGAGATATCTTCCATGATGTTGGTTCCTGGTGATATTCTGGTGATTCCTCCAAATGGCTGCCTGATGACATGTGACGCAGCATTAATTCGAGGGACGTGTATTGTTAACGAATCTATGCTAACAGGTACCGTATTCAAATCGATGCAACTTCATTTTGAGTCGTGATGATTAATTGCATTATTGTTCAAGGTACGAAACAGATTGTAATGATTATCTGTGTTCATTTTTATAGGAGAAAGTGTTCCTGTCACTAAAACGGCTGTTACTCAGTGTGAAGATCAAGAGATGTATTCCGCTGATGGACACAAAAGACATACATTGTTTTCAGGGACTACAGTGATTCAAACTCGTTTCTATGGGCATGACAAGGTATTGAAAAATCATTATTTTGAGGCTTTAGACGCGCTAATACAGCTATATATGTACACAGGTGCTGGCCGTTGTGGTCAGAACCGGCTTTGAGACTTCTAAAGGAGAACTGGTTCGTTCTATACTCTATCCTAAACCAATGAAAGGATTCAGCTTCTACCTTGACTCCATGAAATTTGTTTTGATCCTATTCTGCCTTTCGGCGATGGGAATGGTGTACGTGATTTATCTGTACATTGAGAGAGGAGCTGAACTCTCGAGGATCTTATTGCGAAGCCTGGATATCATCACTGTTGTTGTACCGCCGGCATTGCCTGCTGCAATGACCGTTGGGACCGTGTATGCGCAAAACCGGCTGAAGAAACAAAGTATTTTTTGCATATCTCCTCCGCGTATCAACGTCAGCGGAAAATTGAAGCTTTTCTGTTTTGATAAGGTATGATTTTATGCATTTTCATGATGATTTGTTGTACAAAATAATGTGTTGTAGCAAGATTTTCAAAAATGTTTGGCTGATGGGAAGATTCTTTAAAAATTAAACCTGCAAATATTCAACACCTCCCTTTTTCGATTTTCACATGTTTTTCAATGTTCAAAAAACTGTGATCTTCAAAAATGAATAAAAATAACTTACATTTACTCTCAATAAAAGTATGGACTATTAGAACTTTTTGTTGACTGGCAATCAAACGTTTTTCTAAGCAATTCCTGCCCAGATTTGTAAGGATGGATGTTCCGAAAAAGATCACAATTTTTAAGCGTCACTTGGGTTTCTCGAGCATGCAAACCCCTTTTAAGATGAGTTTTATTTATGGGTTCATTTTTTCACCGCCAATCTTTCAATTTTTGAAAGAGAGGATGTTCAGGTGAATTTTGAAAAAAAAATTTCTTGATTCCACCCTATGTCCCAAGAACCAGTCACAGTCACACTTCGAATGTGAAATTTGAGACTGTGTCTGCCTTCATTGGGGATTTTTCATTAAGAAATCACATCTTCCTCAAAAAATTTGTTTTACTGGAGTTGGCAAGTTTGTTGTGACAAGATTTTCATAACATTTACCTTGCAGACTTTCTGCAGGGACTTGGAAAAAAGTTTGTTATCCTGAAACATTTTTTGTAACAAGATTTTACTTTACTGTACTGTATTTTATTTTGTTCGTAGACTGGAACACTGACTGAAGAAGGATTGGATTTGTGGGGTGTTGTTCCAGCAGAGGATGCAAGGTTTTTGAGTCCGGTAATGCATCCTTGTCCACCGTTCCTCAGAAAAGAAAGTCATATCATGACAGCTTTAGCGTGCTGCCATTCTCTAACAATAATCGATGGCAGCTTGACCGGTGATCCGTTGGATGTCAAGATGTTCGAAGCAACGCGATGGGTAAAATATTTACTTTAATAATGCTCGGGTTTTTTTTTGGATCATTTGGTCGCATGATCGTCCTCACGTTTGTATCTTTGAGAGAAGGTGGAAGGGCACCTTGTACAAAAAGAGAAAACTGCTTCGCTTTTCAGGAGTTGGAGGAACCGGAATCTGTGTCGGAAGAGTCTCGATTTGATCTGCTTGTACCCTGTATTGTGAGGCCACCGAATCCATCCGGATTTCGCAGAAGTGAGCTTTCTGCCATGGGAAAAGCGTCATTGCTTCCCAAAAATTCCGAGGAACAACTGGTTGATTTGTCTCCACAAAAAGGGGAAAAGGTGAAGGAGTGCACTGTGTAGCTGCATGGGCATTTGAAAAAAGAAAAATCGCCTCATGAAGGGTTTTTGACAATTAATCTTTTTGGTTCTCAAGGTTATGAAGGAGTGTTCCACAAGTGAGGGGGATAATGTGCTGAGTGTTCAACCTCCCACCTCGGAAGAGTATGAAGATTTCAGTCTTATGGACGAGACCGAATTTCAAGTAATGTATTGTTTTTTTTCTGCGTGAAGCGTTCTATTTTTATTTGAGAGAGCTTCGACGAAATCAAAAACATGGAAACGTTTTTTCAAAATTGAAGTAGCATAGTTTCATGTATTTTTCTAGATTCCGTATGAAGTTGGTATTGTCCGCCAATTTCCGTTCACCTCCAGTCTACAACGAATGTCCGTGATAACTCGAACTTTGGGGAAGCCAAATATGGAGTTCTACTGTAAAGGAGCTCCGGAAAAAATCGTGGGCTTGTGCAACGAAAAGTCACGTACGTTGTGGTTTGGTTCTCTACGATATAATGAGAACTGTAGTCCCTTTTACTCTTCGTTCTCTAGTGCCGATACATTTTCAAAGGCGTTTGGAGCAATTCACTGTTTTGGGCTTTCGTGTGATAGCATTGGCATTTAAGGAACTTGACAGGAAAGTCACATGGCATCATTGTCAACGAGCCAAGAGAGAATCCTTCGAGGAAAACCTGCAATTTCTCGGATTTTTGGTGCTTCAAAACACTTTGAAGGGTGAAACAACGCCAGTTATTAAGGAACTCACGAATGCCCGAATCAAATCTGTTATGGTGACTGGTGAGAACGATTATCTTTCTCATTAATTTCAGTATTCCTCGTAGAATCCAATAATGCAATTGTTCAGCAATTTCCAGAAGAGTCTCTCATGATAACTTTATCCGCTCAACAATATTGCAGTTTTCAAAGATTTTAGCTCTCATGAATGTAATGAAGTGAGTTTTTAAAAAGAATCTTAACACAGAGCGATGGCTTTCGGTCGACTATCCATTTTTGATGCATTAATATAATGATGATCTCACTAATGGTATACAGTAAAATCTCCTTACAACGAAGCCATTGGGACCAGTAAAATAGCTTCTTCGTAACGAACAAAAAATAATTATAAAGAACTATTTCAACATTGTGGCTATTGAGCCAGAATACATCGATCACATCAAAGTCGTTTCTTAGGTCTCTACCTAAGAAACGACTTTGTTGTATTCGATTATTAGTTTTAACAAGATTCTACTGATTTAATGATCATTTTTAATTGATCTTTATGCTGGGTGAAATTTCTGTATGGTCAAAGCAGCGTAAAAAAAATCAGACGAGACATTACAAGAATCTCGCATTGAAAGTTAAGCTCAGTCGTAATACTGTATTTCCATCTATTCCCCAGGTGATAATCTGCATACTGCCATATGCGTCGCAAGAGAGTGCACGATGGTTGCCGCGGGAGAACACGTGGTGATAGTGAATGCCGGTGTCCCGGGGGAAGGTTCACTTCAACAACCTCCATGGATAGCGTTTGAACTTGCCGATATCCCCTCTCTTCCCACCCCTACGTTTGATGGGAATTCGTTTCACGAGTTCCAGCGAACGCAGTCAATGATCGGAAATGGTGAAGGAACGAAGTTTTCCACTGAGGAACCCGTTGTCTACGCGATGAACGGGAAAGTGTGGAGCATTTTGAGGAGTCACTTTCCCTACTTGATTGCGCCAATTCTGATGAAAGCGAAGATTTTTGGCAGGATGGCGCCGGATCAAAAGGCACAACTAATCGAAGCGTATCAAGAGTTGGGATTCATTGTTGGCATGTGTGGTGATGGAGCAAATGATTGTGGGGTAAGTTTCTTTGAAAAATATTACAGTAGAATCTCGTCAAGACGAAGCGTACCTTTAAAAAGCTTCGTTATGAACAAAATTAAAATAACATTGTGGCTATCGGCCAACAAATTACAGTAATTCGTCGTAACCATCAATTCGTTATAACGAGGTTTTACTGTATTCGAAATGTGTTTTCAGTCCAACGCCCCGATCCCCGACTGTTCGATTTTTGTTGCATTTATGTGGGGTTTTGTGTTGATTTATTAAGGTCCGCTTCTATTCTGCCTCCTAAAATCCGCAAACTCAACGCGTAGATAACCTGCTGCAAGCAGTTCCCTTCTTCTGTCGATGTAGTACTTCTTTTTGAATGATGGATGCACAAATAGAGGGATGATCAGTATACTGTATAACCTGATCTATCTTACGATTAAAATTACCTATTTTGTCGATATTGAATGGGGAATCGATGCGAGAAGCTGTGGGATGCCAACTATACCCCGCTGGTGTGACATGATGCTTTTAGTGTTGTCCGCAAAGTAAGGGTACAGTGGGGAAATGCCGCCTTTTTTCCAGCTCTACGTAAAAAGTTTGAACGTAGGGTGGTTTATGTTCGCTCAAGTAAGCAGGTTGTTGTGCAGGGAATATCATTGTAAAGGTTATCCTTGTGAATATCATTACTGAATATGGCCTGTATGTTTGTTCGAAACTTTAAAAAAGAGGCTTCTGACAAACCCATCTTGGGGAAAAAATGTACAGTATATGTCGGTTCACCCGAGGAGTACAGTATTATGTTGGTTCAGGTCGGCTTGGCTTGTTCTGGGCCTTATGTTTCAGGCGACACCTGTCTGACATTCCAGAAAGTATCACTGGGCGTGGCAGTGATAAGAATCAAACGAGTTCAAGCATTTCAAAACTGGATATTTTTATCGGAATAAATTTCCTTTTTGATTGAAAATTCGAGGCAGCATAATGTTTGAATCATTGGTTTAACTGATTTATTTTTTCTTCTATTAGGCACTGAAGACGGCTCACGTGGGAATTAGTTTATCCGAAGCGGAGGCTTCTGTTGCCGCCCCGTTCACGTCAAAAATAACCAACATTCAGTGTGTACCCATCGCAATCAGAGAAGGCAGATGTGCTCTAGTCACTTCATTTGGAGCCTTCAAGTACATGGCCTTGTACTCGCTCGTGCAATTTTTTTCGGTTCTCATTCTCTACACTCGCAAGACGAATCTTGGAGACACTCAGTATCTCTACATTGATTTGTTCATCACGGGTACGGTTGCTGTCCTCATGGGTCATTCTCAGGCGTACCCGACATTGAACAAGAAGAGACCTCCTGGAAGCCTAGTGAGCCCGCGGATCATTGCTTCTCTCGTCGTTCATTCATTGCTGTCATCTGGAGCTCAGTTGGGAGCATTTTATATCCTTACTCGGCAGCCGTGGTAAGACTCACGCTTTTTGTAACCGTAACCTTTTTTTAAATGTACTTTTCATGCATGAGCTATTCATGATGCTTGCTTTGTTCTAGGTTTGTACCGATCACAGCGAATTCTCCGGAAGAAGTGATTCAATGCTGGGAAACGACAGTTGTATTCCTTGTGAGCTCGTTCCAGTACCTCACACTAGCCGTGGTATTTTCGAGAGGACCTCCCTTCAGGAAACCGCTGTACACCAATTGTGAGTTTGAAACTAACTCATGAAACATTGACATGCTTGACAATACCGTTCTTTCCGATGTTTCAGACTTATTTTTGTTCGCTCTGCTTGTGCTGGGGAGTTTCAACGCATTTTTACTCCTGTATCCAGTGGAGCCATTCATTTCATTTTTCGAATTACAAACAAATGCTGAAGGGCCGGTCAACCTTTTGACTTTCAGGTTGACGCTGCTCATAGTCCCGTCTGCCCATGCCATAGTTGCCTTCTTAATTGAGGTTCGTATTTTCTCGTTGAAAAAGCGCATGTTCTCAAAAATGTGCGTACTGTATTTTTAATATACAATAGTATTAAAATTTTACCATTCGGACTATTGGGAAGTTGTCCCACAATGTAATCGAATAATAATACTGTAAAACATTCTATTAAACCAATTCAAGAAATTAAGAGGGAGATTTAAATGATTAATTCTGACGTTTCCGCAATTCGAAATGCGACAGCACGAAACCAGTCTAACAGATGAAAACAAATCTGTTCGAGCTGAAATTAATGAACATACAGGGTCCTCTGTTTATTTTCAATGAATCAAAATTTGGGTGTGTTTGATCTTAGTCCAGAGAATCCGAGTTCTACTGTATTTAAGAGTTTACCTGCTTTATTAGTTTATATCCCAGCTGTTGCGAGTGATCGGTACTGCTTTTCAGAATCAAGCCATAGAAAGAAAGTGGTTCCGGAAGTTCATGAGATCACTGGTTCCGAAAAAAGTACCCAAAAATCGGTACAAGTTGCTTGAAAAGCAGTTGGTTTCTATGGGTGACCGATGGCCGCCGGTAGTTGGTAAGAAATTGTACCCGGATGACGAAGAACTTGCTGACTTCGGTGTGTTTGATTCATTTGTTTCAATATCCTCATGAATCATCGGTTTTGGTGAGGGAATTAAAATGATCGTGTTATCGATGACGCGAGGGGATTATTTCTGTGACACGGAATACTTCTCGAGGATTGTTTCACGAGTGCGAATTGAAAAATCCATTGTTTGTTTGGAGCTCTCCATCGAGGTTTGCTTCGATTTGTATCAGGTATTCGGTCGCGTTGTCTGCATGCCACTGCCTCGGAGAATCGAGCTTTCTTCAATATGCAATTTTATGAATATACCGTATTAACTTCCCTTACTTCGAAAGGTATTCGATGAAAACTTTCCTGCGTTTCAGTGGTCTGTGATGAAGTTGAATACCTGGTGAAGGCCTCTTCGCATGTGTTGCGCATTTTGAGATCTGCATTTGAAACTTCAGCTGTTACCCGCGAATAAAAAAGGAAAATTAACATTGGCGAGGATTTTGTATTTTTAAGTGTATTTGCAGATAATAAATTTGGCCTATTCTTCTAATCTGGATTTCACTTACTTCTATACAGATTCAGACTCGGATGATCTTGTGATCCCTCGGAAATGTGAAAAGTTCAGTTTTCCGAAGTGCGATTACAATTTTAGGAGCTTTTTCGTGTACAGTATTTTTCAGTTTTTTATTCAAATTTAGCGGCAATAGTGAATTTGAATGACTGTCACACAAGCATCCGATCTGAATTCCATAATTTTTTATTAGAAATTATGATTCTGGAACATGTAGTTAATTCATGTTTCCAATTTCAGAACCGTTCAGCCTTTCATCGTGATTACGATACTTCTGTGTAATTTGCCGTTGAAAATGTCCGTACCAGATGGTGAAAAATTAAAAGAGCTGGGCAGTGATTGGACAAGCTGTCCTTACGATATAAGCCACATTGTGCTGAAATCCCGTCTTCCGTTTCACTTGGCGCGCAATCATGCTGTGAGTATATTTTCAGACGATAATCACTCTGTGCGGGGATTCATGATTTTTTTGTTTTCTATTCTAGAATAGCAGTGAGATGAGCGTTTGTTGCTTTGACGCATTACACGTGATCAGAAAGGAGCAGTTGGAGGAGCATGAGAAGAATTGTCCTAAGAGAGCTCTGTTCGAAGACCTTTCGGCTGTCAATTGTGGTAAAAATTCTTCGAACTTCGATCAAATTTAGTTGATATTGATTTTTATTGACCTTTTGAAAGTATTCTTGTGCCGAAACCACCGCGTAGGAGTCTAGGAACATGGTTTTTGTGAAGAAATTTGTTGAGGAATGGCTTTTAACGTAGATCTTGATCTTTTATTATGCATAATCAAGTTTGGACCTTGATACATTTTTGTAAAAATATTCATAAATTCTTGTTTGTAACACTTTTTTCAAGGTCTCTGTTCAAGAGCCAATAATTTTTTTGTGGTGTGAAACATTTTTTTTATAAAAGCTTTTTTTCAGAGCTCACTTGGTTTTGCTATCTAGATTTTATTGTACTGCATTGTACTTTTTGATGATGCGTTGCATTCTTTTTTTATATTTTCGACTCTTACCTCCATCTGATCAATTATTGTTTTTATTATGCTCTCTTTGAACTTATTTTGGCTGAATCCTCTAGGAACTCATGCGACCCTCGAAACGTTTGATTGCGTTGGAAATGAGGTGGTCAGTGAAGAGATGTGGGGTATGGAAACCAATATCGTTATTTTGCCCAGTGTGAAGGATTCGCATTACCAGTGAGTCTTTCTTTCCTCTTAACTGTCATAATAGTCATCAGTCGCTGCGATGCGGCGGCCGAGAGAGTTATTATGAAGCGGAGAAGTCCGAGACAAGTTTTAATTGAGTTACAATTCTACTTAATTTCTCCAGGATCGATTTTTGCTCTTTTCCATACGAGAAACTATGATGTATATAAATAATCTGAATATGATATTCAGCCTTTTTACTTAATGAAAGCCTGACACATTTTCCGCTGTGTACTGATTTTTACACACTGCATTTGTGCGTTGTAAAAGCGGATTCAATAATTTATGACTTGAATTCACTACAGAAAAAGGCCGCTGATGAATCGCCCGAAGTACGAGAAGAGGATCATCAGGAATCAATTTGCCGAAAAGAAGGTAGCTGATTTTGCGAAAATGTAAGGTTGCTTATTTTAGGCAAACTTACGACATCATTTTTAATGATGGATTACCAAATCTCTTTCAAGGTTGGATGCTCCCAAGGAAGACGGATAGCCTTATGAAGATTCCCGAAAACATAAACCAGTCCACGACCGAATCTGCTGTAAGTCCTTGCTGTTATAGTTTCATCGCTTTAAAATGCTCGAAATTCCTTTTGAATATTCGTAGGTGATTTTTTTATTTTTGACATTTTTGGAGTCCTGCGGCGATGAAGCTATTGATGAGATCTCGGAGTGAAGATGATTCTAGAAGCCATGATCCCGCCACCACAATTTGTCGAAAATTGTTATTTTGAGTTTGATGTGGAAAAAAATTCGTCAAATTATGGCCATCCATTGATTTTCTACATTTGAAGCGTCTTGCGATTTTCCAACGTTTTTCGAATTTTCGTTCAAGAAATACTGTATCTCCAGTTGTGGTTGTCAAAGATGGCTGATAGAGTGTTCGAAGGTAGAATGGTTGGTGCAGCCCAAGTTTTAGAAAAAGCCGTCGATGAGGAGCTAGAAAGGTTGGAGAATTTGCATCAAGATGACTTGGCTGCAATCCGGAAGAACAGGATTGATTCTCTGAAGAAAATGGCCGCACAAAAGCAAGATTGGATCAGTGCTGTAAGTAACGTTGTCATCTTCCCACACGTGGCTACGTTGGATTAAATTTGGTAAATGATGAAAGTAAGTGAAGCCGCCTGAAAGCTGTTTTCAAAAAAATTTCGATGAAACTTTTCTGATGCGTGTTTGTCTGAACGAAACCTCAACTTCAACGGGATGGCGTAAGAAATTGGACACAAATTCTCTGTCGCATTTATTTCAAGATTAGAATTATTTTGAAGCTGAATATTTTTGTTTTCCTTTCCTTATCTGTTCGGGTGAATGAAATATATGAGGTCGAAGCTCTAGTTGAGGAATTTTCCACATCACTTCAAACCTTGCGAAAAAATATGCCCCCGTTGATTGCGAATTTAGCTATTTTTGCTTTACACAGCGTAATCTATGTTGTATTCTCAGGGTCATGGAGAATACACGGAAGTGGCCACTGAGAAAGAATTCTTCGACGTCACGAAGAAGTCGAAGAATGTGATCTGTCACTTTTACAAGGATTCGACTTTCCGTTGCGAAATCTTGGACAAGCATCTAAAAATTTTGGCCCCAAAGCACTTGGAGGCGCGATTTGTCAAGCTCAACGTGGAGAAAGCTCCGTTCCTAACTGGTAAGAGAATATTTTCAAAAAATCATATTTCATTCAGAATGTGGTTCGAGCGTCTTGTTTTTGTTGTTGTACATATTGTGACGTGCCTTTTGTCATCAAATAGAGAATGGTTGAACGTAGATGCGTAATTTTATTGCAGAGCGGCTAAAAATCAGAGTAATTCCGACTTTGGGAATCGTGAAGGACTCCGTCACAAAAGACTTCATCATTGGATTCACCGAGTTGGGAAACAGGGATGATTTTAGCACAGAAATGCTCGAGTGGCGATTAGCTCGAGCTGATGTGATCGATTATGCTGGGGATCTCTTGACACCACCGGATTCTAAGCCGAAAACTTCAAAATTATCGGTCATGCTTGGTCAAGATCGGAAAAAGACTATTCGTGGTGGTGGAAGAGGATCGGATTCGGATAGTGATTGACGTCATCATCTCTCTGGCACCGCTGCATTGCTTGATCAAAGGCACTACTGATCCAGCGAGCAGATTTCTACATTCACTTTGTTCATAGCGAATTAATGGATCTCTTCTTTTTTTTCGGCACGCCCGGAAGTTCTGTTTGTAAATGGTTGACGAGATTCACCGGTGGAGCTGCCGTCCTTTAATTTTTTCGATGCAAATGAAATTGATCAACACATGACTTGATATAAAATATCTGCAAATTCATAATCGTTCGGAGTGGAATTTCAATTCGATCTATTGTTTTCCTATTCTTACCGATTGTTGAATAAAACTGATGGATGGAAAACTTGAATATCATGGTCTCTGCTTCAAGCGGTAATGCTTTCCATTGATCCTTTTTTTCAGACAATGATGATTTTTACGAGAAATAATTGTTCATGAAGTGAGTAATTCGAGGTTACGCGGCGAAATCTCTTTAGCGTGCAACGTTTTGTTCAATATCATCTTTTAACAAGTTATAAGCTTTATTTTTTTTTATCTGAGGTAAATCCTGAGAGTACTTTGTGCGATGTTGCGTCGAACAATTCTGGCCGGTGTGACGAGCACGGTTATCGGTGCAGTAGCTTTGAACGAACCTTTGCGGGATTATGCGGAACATTTATGGAGCGTTATTCGTCTCAACGACAAGCCCGGATTACCAGTTTTCGGAACAGTTTCTGCCGCCACCGCTGTTGTACCCTCGGCGTCCACGACTGTCGCATCGCGAACAGCACAGGTAACTCTCAGAACACGAACGATTACCACTACGGTATTATCGCGAATGTAAGAATTTTTTTTTTACGAAATCACAAAGGTCTCAGAAGTAAAGACATCCCCGTTCAAGCGGCCTGTTTGATGCCTTTATCAAAAAAAAGTGTGCGCTTATTTCGATGATTGATGAACTTACCATTTTGTATGCCAGATCGTAAGTTTAAAACGTAACCTTGAAGATCTACGTAAAAGGCATCATTCTCCGTTTTATTACGTTATACTCTTCAATTTTAACTGACATGGGGCTGTAGCTATAATTGCGGAAGCAAGACTGATTCCTTCTGACATGAAATTACAGTACCGCGAGCCATATTTGTCTGTTTGTCATTGGAACGAGTTTTATTTCTTGATACATTTTCTAATTTATGCTTTGCTTCGTGCTGCAATCGGTCCTGATTCGCTAGGGAGTTGCCTTTTTTCAGTTTTCTGCCTTCGAAATCGAGTGAAATTTTAGATGCGATGACATTTTGTTTTTGCAGGAATGGGGTCATTTTCCTGTTGATTTTGTAATTCTTGCAAGTTTATTTCTGGGAAGTCAACGCGTGTGAATATCTCTCCCTTGCAGATCATGAAATTTGGTTTTCCTGGGACTGCAAACGTCAAGGTCCGCGAGAATTTTGTCCTTTCGTTTGACCGCAGACTTCGTGTTGCTACTTGGGTTTTTGAGCACTTCAACAGGGAGAGTCTGAAAAAGGCGGATGGAGTAGATCGCAGTGCATGCACGTTCTTCGAGGACCCGGACGAACATCCATATTTCAGGTAATTATTTTATTCTCTGTGCATTATCGTATTTTTGCTTATTGTATTGTACTGTACTGCGTATGATATTCTGTGAATGACGTTGAAATCCATGGTGTTTACCCAGACCGACCCTCCAGGATTACTTGAACAGCGGCTTTGACCGCGGTCATATGGCAGCTGCGGCGAATCATCGCAGTAATCAGAAGCACATGCAAGACACCTTCACATTGCTCAACGTTGCTCCTCAGGTTGGAAAGGGTTTCAACAGGGATTCCTGGGAAAGACTGGAAAGATATGTGCGCCAGTTATCCCGTACCTACAAGGAGATCTACACATGCACCGGTCCACTCTTCTTACCCAGGTTTTTATTGGTTTTATTTTATCAAAAATTATTTGTGCTTCGCTTCCGACTGCCAGAAATACGCCCATCGTGGACCAATTTCCGTAGACGACTTTTCCTGTACCGTAAATCCAAAAGAATGCGGTGGTTTTCGATTTGGTGAATTGATAAATTATGCAGTACTCACAAATGTTGAAACGCGAAATTAAGCCAAAACTTTGTAACATGGAAAAGAATCTGATTCTGAACCTGATTCTAATTTTTGACGTTCTGATGATTTCTGATGTAACTTGTTTAATCCCGATGAATTGGTCTACCAATGAAACTTGATTTTACATTACTGTATTTTATTGAGAATTACGGATACTCTTAGAATTTGTTCTAGAAAAGGGGCTGAAGATTGCGCTCGGCTTTCATTTTACGTAAAAGTGATTTTCGTATATTGGTGAAAAATGCCCGCACGATATTTTATAGTGACGAGTCCATTAAAAATATTTAATTTCCTCGGAATGAAATTCTGGCCGCGTTTTCTCTGAATTGATCTCACTTCCATAGGAGAGAAGGAGATGGAAAATTGTACGTGAAATATCAGGTTATTGGAAAAAATCACGTTGCCGTCCCAACTCATTTTTTCAAAATCGTGGTTGGCGAAGGGACCGACGGATTTTTAGATATGGAGGTCTTCGTGATGCCGAATCAGGTGCTTGACGATTCAATAAGTCTCAATGCCTATTACGTGAGTGAATGCTTCGGAAAATGTACATGACCTCTTTTTGTGATAGTTCTTCCTTCCTCTTTTATAGTCCACTCCGGAAGCTGTTGAACGAGCCAGTGGCTTACTTTTCTTTTCGTCGATGAGCAAAGATCGATTACGTTGTGTGAACGGTGTTCGAACGAAGTGATGTGTTCAGTTGGTGCTCGAAGTTGTGACTTGGAAGAAACGAGATAGAAAACATTTTTCATTCATTTTTTCGCTTGCGAATTTTTCATTTGTTTTAATATTTTAAAATTGAATTTCATGTTTCTTTCAATTTTATGGTTTATTCTTGTTTTTGTGCTAACGTTTGTCCTGCGTTTTTTGGCATTGAGCTAAAAGTCGTCGCGGTGCGCGTGACGAAAATGGACAAGGGTGGTATTTTACCAAGGGTTGACTGTAAAGTAAAGGGATTGCGTTTTTGATTAACATTTAATCAAATTTTTGCTCCTTTTGTTCGTGGCCATCTACCAAATTTAGTGAGCATGCAACGTGCTGGCCTTTTGCAACATTAGCTTGGTGATCTTATTCAAACTCATTGAAGTAATGATTTTGGTTTTTTTGTGGAAAATTGCATCGGTTGCTGCAGATTTTAAGGTCAATTGACTCTCATTTTTTTACTATTTTAAGTACAATACCTTTATTCGAAGTTTTTTCAGGAATTTACTGGAAGTATTGATCTTTGTTCTACGGGTTCATTGACATTCTTATTTAAGCAATTCGAAAATTTTGTGAGCACTTGCATCATCGAATGAGCGCCTGACCAACGCCGAATGTCTTCCTTCTTCTTTTCAGATTTTAACTCCTTTCCCGTGTGAAATTGAATAATTGCAATGCCGGGTAGAGTGAAACGATCAGCGCCAGAACCCGAATCTGAATCGGAACTCTCGGACGATTTCGAAAGCGAGAGTGATGAAGACGAGCCGAATAACAAACGCGCCCGTGTGTCGCGAGGCTCGAAGAAGAAGCCGAATCAACAAGAATCTGAGCCGACGTCTGTTGTTGTTGAAGGGAAAGTTCGACACGGAATAATCTTCGGAAAGTTGAAACTCACTACATCTCGCACCCCGAACGGGTGTCTACAAGAAGCTCAACGCCAGCGTTTGCTGAGTCTCGGAAACTACTTGAAATTTTTGGATGATCCTCTCGCGAATAGTGATTCTCAGGAATTGCATCGTCACAGTATTGATTTCCGTCATCCGCCGTCCAGCTTCTTACAAGCGTGTGACCGCCTTCGTCTTGGGGTTCTGGACAAAGAATGGTTTCGTTCTGTGAGTCGACTATTCTTCTATATGCTTGATGGTTTCTGATATGTGAGACACGTGTGAAATCTTCTGCAAATTTCCATTCAAGTCTAATTTCTTTCTTTTTTTAAATCAGTTCAAGATCATTTTTGCTGTAAATTTGTAGTCCGTCGCTCACTGTGAGAGAGTTTTTACGACGTTCATGTACGAAAAGCAGTAGAACGATCAAAATATAAGCTACCCGTTTTCCAATTGAGAAAAATAAAACGAGCGATTGAGAAATGTTTTATTTTATCCATTAATGTTTCTTGTTTTCTTCAGTTGACTTGAAACCAAATAATACATTCTGAAGGAGCAAATCTGCAAATGAGTTGGTGTTACAGAGCAAATTAATTTCTTGACTAAAAAATCATGGTTAAAAAATGATCGCAGAACGGGAAACAGGCGTGGAACTCCCTCTGATGCTATGATAAACTGTTTCAATCGTCTTGCAAGCCAGAAAAAAAGCTTCGGATATTGTTCACCTTTATTGCGAGTTATTTCCAGTTTTGCGAAGTAATTTCGAGGATAATGATGCATCGCATTCTGGTCTTGCTTTCATCATATTTGTGTATCATATTTCAGCACGGAAAAACGGATGAGCTGTTGAAGACGGAATTGGACCAGATCGACGCTCACCGCAGCACCAGTAGCATTATGCCGAACATGCGTGTCACTGCCATTGATTGGCATCCTGCAGCCCCACGTATAGCCATTTTGGGCGACAAACATGGAGAACTCATTGCTTGGGATGCTTTGGACCAATCGAAATTGAACCACCGCTTTGCCGGGGTAATTATGCCGTCAATCTTATTGAAGCCTAAACGTCGCTTGCTTTTCTTCTGATTTCAGTGTTCAAATCCAGTGTTCCCCAACCTTTTTGGGTTCGCGGACCGGCAAATTTTAATAAAATCCTTCGCGGGCCGGCATATTTTCATAACATTTTTTGCGTACCGGCAAGTTCCGTACAATTTTTGATGACCAGCATACTATTTTAAAATACCTCCCGGCAGTCCTCAGAACAAAACTTTTTTGGCAAAAATTGAGCTAAGAAACTGTTAATTAGCTATGAAGTGGAAATATCTTTAAAAAATAGGATGCTGGGCTTGAAGAAAAGCTTCTCAGGTTGAAAACTGGAAGTCATATATTTCAGCAGTTTAAAATAAGTCTGAATTGCTATTAGGAGAAAAACAAACTATTCATTTTTCATCAGATAATTTCAACTGCCATTCTCTGCAAAAATTTGGATTGCGATAACAGACTTCATTACTACTCTTAATACATTTATTATGTGGAAGGAATTTTCCCGCAGACCAGCAAAAAACTTCTGCGGACCGGCGCCGGTCCGCGGACCACGGGTTGGGGAACACTGGTCTAATCCATAATTTTAGTTGTTTTTCTTCGCGCGTTATCGACTGAAAGTGGAGGTTTTTAGCTTGTGTGCGTCTGAGCCCCTTGGGCTTCGCATGAACTTCTCAACTGACGGTTTTGCGGGTACTCGAAAAAAGTAAAAAATATGAGTTGAACAAATATGATGAAAACTATAGCTAACGAAGAAAAGGCGAAGATTACAGAGGATTAAAGTACAAAATAAAGGGCCGATTATTCCCCTCCGGACCTTGCTCGCGTTTTATGGTTGCGTTTTGTGAAGGACAAAATTCAGTCGAATTCGTTGCCATCAAGATTATGTGGTTTCCAATCTGCGACAGGAAACTGGAAAGTTTTATTTTTTGCCAAGAAAAAGTTTACTGGTCATTGCGTAGGTCTAGGTGTCTCTTCCAGAAAAAAAAATATTGTAAAACAGGTTTCGCGAGCGGAATTGATTGTGAAAAGAATCTTCTCGAGTTAGCAGTTGATAAACTCGACTATTTTTTCTCCTGCCAATTTAAAATGTGGCGTTTATGCCGGATTTTGCAGTGCGGTGCGGGAGATGCCATTTACGGATTGAAGCACGACCCCGGCGACTTGAATGGGCTCACAAGTCTGAGCATGACAACCCCGCCTCCTCAAGATTTACATTTCTACGCTGGAGGCGTATCTGGAACAGTGACCAGACTCAAGCTAACGAACTCTGGAATGCATTCAACTCAGACGCTCTACTCGACATGCGACCCACATGTGTATGTAGAACGCTGGAATGAGGGTTTTCTAACAGGCCATCTTGTCATGAAACTCATGACAGTGTCAGGAATAAATTCAGACTTTCAGATTTGCTTTGCCGTTTTTGCGCGACGCATTTGACGGAACCATTCACGAGATGCTATAGGTTAAATAATGTATGGGTAACCTTTTTTTCCTTTTCGTTGTACTGTATACTTGATTCAGCTAGCACTTCTCTTAAATAACAGTTGTAAGTTTGTCATAGGAGTTCGTGCGTAATAATTTATTTCAATTTGTTCTTGTTGCATTTACCGTAACAATTTTTTTTGCCATTTGCCTTGCGAACATATCCTTTCTATTCCAACTTCGTGAATCGGCTGATCAGCAACAACTTTCTGCAATAGGGTCTGGATCACGTGTCTGGATGTTCACCGCGATGGCAGCTTCGTGTGGGCAGGGAATAACAAAGGCGAACTGATCCGCCTAGATCATCGAGCTCCGCGTGAACATTCGGACTACAAGCTCCACAAATCGAAGATATCTTGCGTTGAAACATCGCTCAGGTTTGTTCACGAATAGATAAATGATTTGTCTGCAGCTTACAAATTTTTTTTTGGCAGGAATCCTTGGATGCTGGCGACGGGTGGGCTCGATTCGGTGGTCAAGATCTGGGATATTCGTTCAATGAAGGACGGAGGAAAGCCAAATTCGACGCTTTACACGCTACAACACGATAAGGCGTTGGCAGGACTATCTTTCAGGTGAGTACAGTACTGTATACACTACTTCGAAGAAGTAAATTTAGATCGTGTTTGAGACCTTGATTGCTCTCGATTCCAGTCGGATGGATGGAAATCGCTTGCTGACGACTGACCAGCACAGTCAGTTGCGAGTGTACTCAGCCGACTCTTTTGGTCTTGAGCGCATCATTCCACATCCTCATCGTACCTTCCAACACTT